GGTGTTCGCTGCCAAGTGAACATGGAGATTCCTAGTAGCACCACAGTACAGTTCATGTACGTGGGGTGTACATGAAATAAATTTGAGAAGCCTAGTGCCATCTGCTTCCAGCTGCTGGCATTTTTTGGAGCCTTCCGTGGAGGAGCAGGAATGTGTGAGGTACTCTGCTACTACAGTAATGGGTGAAGTTTAAGAGCCTTGATAGATCAAACAGGGATCGCATGGTTTTTTTTGCAAGTCAAGTATGTGGTGCTTTGCAGAGCTATATGATTCCTACTTGCGCTGTGTCTATCTAGCCAGTGCTGCTAATCATTGCTGAAGGCAGTCCAAATTATGAAAGAGCAGGTAACAAGTGGGTTGGAGGACCTGTAGGGTGACCTTGCCAAGCAGTGGTGTGACAGATCAGGGGAGAAGCTCTGTGGTAGAAAAGTGAGGAGAAACTTCCAAGTGTTTGCCTGAATCTGGTACTGTGGGGAAAGGCCCCAGTGAGAGGAGAATGAACTGCTCTTCCATCTGTGGTCATGCTGTGACTATAGCTGCTCATATACCTGCTTGTTCAGTTCACTTGTGATACTGAAAATTCATGAAAATGGTTTCATACTGAATGCAATGATTTGTCCTTGAGCTTTGACAGAGGTTTCTTGTTCATATAAAAATTAAGTACATTTTTAAATAAACTATTCCAAACAAAAAGTTGAAGTTTTCTTTTAAAAATGTTGAAAATTTTTATTTAGGTGTTTCAATATGTTTTTTGTTTTCTGCTGGCCAAAACAGTGACTGCAATGCACATTCTTAACACAAATCTTCATTTTTTCAGTGAAAATGGTTCTGTCCAAGACATTTTGCTTAGCAGTAGCACTGAATCATGCTGTCATGTAATCATGAGTGTAAATTGCCTTCTCCTAGGCTGAATGGAGAGAAGAAGTAAAGAAACACTTTGAGAAAATTAAAAGTGAAGGAACTTGCATACACCGGCTAGATGAAGAGTTGATTCGGCGCCGAAGAGAAGAGCTTAGGTCTGTTTACAGTCTCTCATCTGCTACTCCACCTCTTTTCCCAGCCCGTTCTGGCTGTTGATCAGAATGATACATACAGAAATCATTGCCTCACTCTCAGCTAACCATTCCCTTTGTTCTGAACCGTGTCACCGTAAAGGGAGGTCAGCACTGGTATGTAGTCAGCAAATTTTGAACTTGGGTTGGCTACCACAGGTTAAACTTGCAGTGAAAATGAGCTGGGTCTTAACTTGAGTTGGCTGCTTGAGTTCCAGTCCAGCTCTTTTCTCTAGTCTTGCACTGAAGATGAATTGAAAAGGAGGTGGAGAAAAAGTGGTACTAGGATGATCAGGAGAAGGGAGAGCATATCTTGTGATGAGAGTAGAAGAGCGTCGTGTTCAGTCGAACCAAATAAAATTGACGGGAACTACAATTGCTGTCTATCATGTCATGGGAATAAACATCAGGTGGGAGAGAGGCTACTTAAGGTAAAGTGCAATGTTAGCAAAAGAACAAATGGGTAAAACCTAGCCTTGGATAAATTTAGGCTGCAAACTAGTGATTTCTGGTGATGACACAGCAGTGAAGTTTTGGAGCACTGAGAGTTGTAGGGGCAACATACTTAAGTCTTGAGATGGAGTTTAGGAACAGAATTATACAGCAGGGATAAGTGTGATAGCAGGAGACTGGACATAATTATCCAAGAGATCTTTTCCCATGTGGTGTACTTAAGATCCTACCTAGCCCAATTAAAAAAAACACAGTTGTCTCATGAGCTACAAATACCGTACTTCATTTGTAGGCTCCTTAGTATGCATATTTAGGTGCATCCATAATAAGTAAGTCTCTTTATCAGATGGTAGGTAATGTGACTGGCTTTTGGGGAATTCTACTGTGGATAAAATAGTTCAGTTTTCATATGCGTTAGCAGGTTGTGGTAAAACCTAACGAAGGGAAAGGTGACCATCTCTCTCCAACTCTGCACTTCCTCCTCCCCAGATGAGAAGTGTTTGTTCATCTGTCCAAGGCACCAGATCCTCAGGTTGTGAAGCTGAGGCTTGTTTTTTTTTCTCTTTAACAGACATGCATTAGATATCCGTGAACACTATGAAAGAAAGCTAGAGCGAGCCAATAATTTGTACATGGAACTCAGTGCCATCATGCTACAACTGGAGGTCCGTGAGAAGGAGCTCATCAAGTACGTATGTGGAAGGAGAAGGGGTGTGCGTGTGCACCCACTCACAGCTGGGGAGTGTTTCTGAACAGGGAATAAATAAACTGTCTCTTTTCTGCTTGATAGCACTTTTGGTCGGGTTTGCAGCAGGGTGCATCCAGACCTGGAGTCCAGGTCAGGCCTCTCCCTAATCCCTCAGGGTCATTGCCTAGAGTTGAGGGGAATTTCCTTAAGGACGGTGACCGACAGCTTCTCTCTCTCTGTTAATACCTTTCTCCCTTTGCAGTTTGAACAAAAGAGGTGTTTTTGTGGTTAGATGCTACCAGTGCCAAAATGGCCTTGCTGCCAGCCCCTCTATAAAGGGGAAGGAGACAGTTTGCCTTGAACCATGTGCCAGGGCCCGTAAAGATGCCTGATGTCTGCAAAGAGAGTTTAGACAATGACCCTTTCTGCACGTGGAACACGTTACACGTGCCAGCAGTCTCTGAAAGAGCGTTCTGATACGACTCACTGCTGCTTTTATGTCCAGTACTCCCTCCCATCTTTTAGAGAAGAACCCTCGGGATCGTTTTTTGTTCTGTCTTCCAGGCGGGAACAAGCTGTGGAAAAGAAATATCCTGGCACTTACAAGCGCCACCCAGTCAGACCAATAATCCACCCCAATACAGTGGAAAAGCTGATGAAGAGAAAAGGGGTTTCCCATAAGCCAGGGGGTCAGACCAAGAGGTAAGAAACTTATGCACAAAGCAGAACCCTAGCTGAGCAACTGCGTTCTGCACACAAGCATGACAGTGCGGCTGTAACTGTTAAGTGCTTTCAAGTTGTAGGGAAAAATTCTACCCTCACTTACACCTATTTGAAACATTTGGTCCACAGACACTGCACAGGGGATGCTACTTGAGCCAGTACAAACCTGACTCTGAGATCCCCAAGGAGTTTTTGGGGCTGTCAGAGAGAACCACATAATTCCCATTCAGAGCAGATTTGGCGATAGATCAACCCTAGCCCTCACATGCAAGTTATTAGGAAGGGTAACCATGCTGCTAGGGCACTAGGCTGGGATGTGAGAGGGCTAGCTTCTATTCCTGTGTCAGCCACGTACTCCCTGTGTAACCTTTGGTGTGTTATATGCAGCTAGACTTTCAAAGGCGTTTGCTAGTTTTGTGTATTTCTGGGCATCTGCATGGTTGGATTCACTGATTGACAGTCACTACAACTGACTGATACTTTTGCTTTCCAGTTGAAATAAGCTAGGCTGCCATTTGTGGGTGGTTTTGGTGGTGGTGTGTGGGAACTCCTTGTGCAGGGTGCTGTATAAATATGTGGTAAGAGACAGTCTCTGCCTCTGTGGAGCTTCTAGTCTAAGCACGAGGCAGAGTTGAGGGGAGAGGTGTAACAACTGAGGAGTGGTGAGCCACAAAGGGCATGGGGTTGCCAAGATTTCTTCTTATGGGAAGTCGGTGAGCTTTAGGATTGGAAAAAGAAATGAGGCTCTCTTGGGGGAGGTTAGCTAGAAGGAAGTTTGGGGAAGGGAAGAAGATGGAATAGAGGGGGGTGGAGGAAGAAAGGAGTGACACTAAATGTAAGGGTTCATGACTGAGCAGGGGGGGACCAGAGAGTGTTGGAGTCAGTAGCCAGTCAGCAGACGGAAAATTGCGTCCGTAGGCTGTGCAAAGCAGAGTCCAAGAACAATGTTGGCATCTGCGGCTGTGTCTCTGATCTTCTGCCAGCTCAGGCATCAGCCCCAGGCTGACTGCGTTTGTTGGTCTTTGCTCTAAATCCCATTTGACTGTCTCCCAGGCCAGACCTGCTGAAGTCAGAGGGCATCCCCAGTGTGGAGGCAGCACCCAACAGCTCGCCTGTCTCAGGAAGTCCCAAAATGGCAACCCTCGGTGGCAAAGGCCGGTATCGCAGCAAGCCACGTCACCGCCGGGGGAACAGCAAAGGCAGCTATAACGATTTTGCAGGGATCTTGAAAAACCAGCCAGGGCCAGACGACGCACCCCACCCACCTCCTCACCAGAGCCATCCTCCTCCTCCTCCTCCTCCTCACAGCCTACAGCACCAGCAACAGCACCATGGCCACCCCCATCCCCAGGGCCACCATGCGCGGCTCAACACCCATGGACAGGACATTGCAAACTGTGCAAACAACCTGAGGTACTTTGGCCCAGCAGCAGCTCTGCGGAGCCCCCTCAGCAACCATGCCCAAAGACGGATGTCGGGCTCCAGCCCCGATCTCATCTCAACCGCTATGGAAGCAGACTGCCGGAGGCACTTAGAGAATGGGGAGAACAAGGCTGGTCACTGGGAGTGCTGTACAACAGATCCATACAGCGCCTGTCCACAGTGCCGGCAAGGGAACAGCGGTCAGGAACAGGTGCCATCCATGGGGCAAGGGACGAGCTGGCCTGAATCCACCACATGTGGGTCCTTTTACGGAAATGCCCACTTCTTTGAGAAGACGGAGGTGGAAGGATTCAGCAAATGCAAGTCTGCATCCTCTCTAGGCACTCCCCAACAGGTGACCCCATCTGGGCTGCCTTGCAAAACAAGACCCCTTCAAAAGGTAAGGACCACATTGCATTCTTGTAAACAATAGTGACCCATTGTTGAAGATCTCCCACATGTACTGCATGGCATGGTGTAATTTGAGGGAAAAAAAAAGTATGTGATAGCATATGTGGAAGATGGGGATTAAGGCTGTCCGTGGGTATTAGTTTAAAGATAATTTTCCATTCGTGTACTTGACTTTGCAACTTCAATATTCTTTTAAAGTAGCTGATGTCATTCTCTATCACTAAGGTCCAAACTTTTTATTTGGAGACCGTGTTTCCAAGTGTGCATAACCTAGTCACACTGTGTTTTTCCTTCAGTTTTCTAATCATGTGTCTATCTCAGACTGAAGTTGCTTGGGAAAACTCAGCAAAAGTTAAGCTGTTTTTTTAGACAATGGGGAATATGCATTTGTTTGGAAACTCTTGCACCTTCATGCTTTGTAGAAGGGTTCTGGAATTTGCCAGGGTCAGGGGTGGGCCTTTTGCTGTTTCTTCAAGAAGCTGCCCAGATTCAGCTAAGTTGCAAGAAGGAAAGGCAGACCTCACACATTCTCAAGAGGGATCTGCTAGTTCGGCAGCTAAATTTTTCAAAGGTTTCTTCTGTGTGCCTGGCTCAGGAGATGGAGGCAGTCCTACTGGCAATGGAGGATGGTGAGCAGGGACTGGTCTAGCTGGAGTGTTGATGGGTAGGGACGATAGGCTGAGGCAAAGGTAAGGTCCAAGATGGAGGGATAAGTGGGGATGAGACATGTGACTGAAGGGACATAATAGTAGAAACTGAATCTGGGACATGGACCTACAATGGGTAGGTGTGGGGAGACAAGTACAGGTTGGAGGGTCCAGAGACTGAGGGTTCAGACTTGAGGGCAGGAGTGGGAGTAGAAATATATGCATCTTCTAGAGGAACCAGCAACGAAAGCCAGGTTTCCTGAGTCTCATCATTCCTGTGAAACCCACTGGTAAAGTCAGTCTCATCCCATTGTACTGGCTGGTTCACAAAGATGACAACCTACTACCATTGTCACCTGCTGCATCAGCTCAAAGGGCAGAACTAAAATTGCCAACCCTGCTCTTGAGCCGTATGGATGTCAGTGTGGATCCACCTAATTGCATTTCTGTTTATGCAGTTTGCTTTCAAAAAACTTTTAAAATGGCACTGAAAAATCTACTCTAAAAGAATGGTTCTGGTGGTTGAGACAAGTACTCAGCAGTTAGGAAGTGGCATCCCATGTGACTTTAATGTGGTCCCCATATCTGCCTGGACTGTGATACCTGCTTGACATTGCATACTGTTTTTATCCACAGAGGCTCTCCCTCTTTTCATTCAGTTTGCAGGGTGGTTGATCCTCTGGGGATTGTGTAATAACAGAGGTTTGGTCTGCAGGCCTCCTGCCTCGTTTATTGACCAAACTGGACAAATGAGGAAACTGTAGGAAGAGAAAGGTTGATTTCCACCGTTAAGATAGTCGAATGCTGCCTTGGAAAATGGGATTCTATCACTGCCCGTGGCACAGAGCTCTCGCACGGCACTGGGCAAGTCGATGAAATCATACACTTCACAGGCAGTCACAAAGTGTGCGTTCCAAGTGCCAGCACGAGCTTCTGGGGTCTGATTTGCAGACGTGCTGAGCGCTTGCAGCTGTCACGGTCATCAGTGAAAGCCACATTGAACATGGAAGTGTTCTGTAAGGCAAAGTTCTCCGACAAGACAGGCTTCAAGCATCTCATATGGGTTACCCAGAATTAACATGTGCTTTTGGCGTTAATGTCTCTGAACTGAGATAATACCACTTTTCTTTCACAACGCACACAAAGTAAATTAATTTCAATCATAGATTTCAGTCATAGAGAAGTTGGACTAGATGTGACCACCCAGAGGTCACATCTAGTCCAACCCCCCACCTGAGGCAGGATCAGCCCTGTCCAAACCACCTCAGACAAATCCATTGTCTAACCTGTTAGCAAAACTACACAGTCAACCCTGACAACACAAGACATAACACCCTAACAGGCCACAGGTACAGCAAGGGGACTGCGGTAGCTAATGTCCTGGTGCTTTAAAAGTTGTTAAAAACCACTTGAGAGATTCAAGGAGATCCATGTCTCCTGTTACAAAGGAAGGCAAAACCCCAACAGTGGATGTGTCTACATGTTCATTAATGCCCTTTAGATGCTATGCATTTAGTTTACTTCCTTAATAAAGCACTGACTAAATATGCAGTACCTAAAGTTACTGTGCAGTAATGCTGGTGCACAGTTAGGGAAGCTTACTGCACATTAGCCTAATAACACTGTGCAGTAGGCTATTAGCATGGTTTTTGCCATGACACGCTATTGCACAGTGTTACTAGGCCAATGTGCAGTAAGCATCTCATGCAGATGCACCCAGTCTGGACCAGTCTGACCACAAGAGAAAATTTCTTCTTGACCCTGAACATGGCAATCAATCTGACCCTAAGTGGAGGGGCAAGATCCTGTAGCCAGGAACCTCCAGCTTTGATCCCAGCAGCAGCATTGGCACAGCCCAGTCAAATCCTCAGCCTTGGCTACAGCCAGCACCCAATACCTATGTGGAAGGCTCAAAAACACCCTGACACATGTAGCTGCAGGAGGGGAAAATTTTCCTTTCTGGCAACCAGCAAAGCTCAGAAATCTGGCAGATCCCCATAGTAGAACATAGGCATTGCTAAGCCTAGATCATCCCTGACTGATGCCTGTCCAGTCTCCTCTTGAATATCTCCAGCGATGGAGAGTCTGTGGTTGTGAAGCGCTCAGATAACTCTGCAATAACTTCAGGAGAAAAGCACAGAAAGGAATTAACTCTGTATCCAAAGCATAAAAAAAGAAAACAGGCACTCACACTTTGGTTGGGAAGTAGAAAACCAAATAATGAAAAGTCAGCACCCTGTGGAAAAAGGAGTTTGACCTCATGCAGTGAAATCCTATATCATAATACATATGTACTGGAGGGCAAATTATGGTTGCACAGGTTATCTCAGGTAACCACCTGGCAGAGAGGATTGGCTGTAGTCCTCCCCATATTATGTAAGAGTGATGATATTTTGTGTGAATTTGGGGAGGACATTGGCTTCTGAGAGAAATACTAGGGAAGGTGCTAACCTCTTGGCTGTCATCATACCTGAGTGCAGAAGCGAAGACTAAGTGTCTCTCAGCTGCTTGCTGCAGCTCAACATACTCTTGAAGCTGGTTTGTGCAGACAGTCTCTTGCTGCTGTTGTGATTATGGGGTTCATTTCCCCAGGATCATAGTTGGCTTGCTCTTAGACCAGAGGCTGGATTACAACATCTTGTGTGCTTATCTTGGTGCAACAAACGGGATGCAGTACCTGCAGTGACTCCCTCCAGGAGACTGTGACCAGTGACACATGCGGAGACCAGACAGCCTTCTTGAACCAGCACGTGGTTTAATCTTAGGAGCTGGAACACATGGCAGTTAGAGAAAAAGGAGTTGAAATCAGCAGTCTGTACTCCTGTCTGTCTTACTCTCTCATAACCCTGGCAGACCTACCTTCTCCAGATGCTTCACTAGGCACTTATTTCTTAACTGGGTTCCTCTGAACAGCTCCCCTCCAGAAGCATTCCTTTTTCAAATGGCTGTGGTTCTTTTAGTTTCCAGACATAACATGGCCTGATGATCACTTTTCACACTTGCAGGGAATCTGCCTGTCTTGAGCTGTTCTTTCACTTGCTCTTTGTTTTTTCCAGTAGCAAAGTATTAAACTGAAGTCAAACTTTTGTATGGCAATCATCCCTGGATGTTTGCAAATACAGTGTTCATATTTTACTGCAGAGTGGACATGTCTACACATCTTTGTTAATGTGCCTTAATTACTGTGTATTTAGTTTAGTACTTGTTTAAGGAAGTAGAAACTAAAGAAGGAACTAGAGTTACTACGTAGTTACACTGGTGTACAGTTATTTGGTGACGCTTACTGTGCATTAGCTCTATAACACTGTGCAGTAGGCTATTAGCACGGTTTTTAATTTCCACATTACTGCACAGCGGTATTAGGCTAATGCACAGTAAGCATCTCATGTGGACATGACAAGCATCCCCAGCTCCATCACTTTTAGCTTACTTCAGACTCTGGCTTCCTTTCACTTTTTAAATTTTCTCTCAGGCCTCCTCTGCATTTTTAAACTTGACTAGAGTGGACTGGCTTGTCTGGAGGGTTAGGGAATAATATGGCAACATCCTTATTACTCCAGCTGTGGTCACTTCACTTTGTTGGTTATCATGGCAAGCCTTTGCGTGGTCACCATACTCCACTGCCTTATCTATCTAATCTCTCAGTGACCAGATTGTACGTTATATCACCCCAGTATACTGGCCATCTCTTCCTTGTGATATTATTTTAGAGATAAAGAATTGGAATAATATTTTTTTCGGGTATGAACTTATACATGACAGAATATTTCAGAACTAAGTATTAATGGTCCCTGCTGAATGTGGTGTCTCTGGTTAACCTTCATCCTTGGAGGTTTTTAAGACCTGGCTAGACAAAGCCTTTACTGGGATGAAGTAGTTGGGCATGGTCCTACTTTGAACAGGCCATTGGACTAGATGATCTATGATTCTGTCCTGAAGAAGACAGGATAGATACATACCTTAGAGACTAAATCAGAGATTTATAGCATAAGCTTTTGTGAACATAAGCGCACGTCATCAGATGCTGTGAAAGGACATGCACAGTCACGTGAAGGACTGCAAAACTGTACCAGTCTCTTCTGTGATCTTTGGTTGCAGATTTGCCTTAAAACTTGTTTACATGGGGAAACTGCCTGATAGAGCTGTAGTAGTGTAATATTGCTTTAGCTATTCCAGTGCGACTCCCTGAGCTGGGCATGGCCTTCCAAAATGATTAAAGCAACTAATGGAAGATAATTGCTCAAATTCAAAACACAGAACAGATTAGGTATGCCAATCTGAAGTCATTTTCACTGTCAGTCAGTTTCCACTTAGACAAGAACTCAATCCTGACTCTTAGCATGCTACCTTAGAAATACCTTCAGAAGATTGCAGTAGTTCAAAAGTTTACCCTAAATAATGTAACCAAGACCTATATAATACTCTGATAAAATTACTTTAGTACCACGTTTGTTGGACTCTGCTAAGTTGTTTGGTAGACTTTACTAATAAAATTCAGCAGCGGATACGCATCAGTCCAGTATGTCCTGTCCTGGCCAGATCATTTTCATAGGTCTTGGTTTGCAGAACTTGGCTTGCCTGTGTTTGGAGTGCTGCAGTCCCTTGATGTGGTGACACTGTACCAGGAACCAGGTGGTAGTTATGGACCTGCCTGTTTGCTCTTGCACAAGTCCAACATCATTGTTCTCTTTCTTGCCCTGTACCAGAGTGGCGAGGAGTCTTCAGAAGAGGAAGAAGGAGAAGTGGACAGTGAAGTGGAGTTCCCTCGGAGGCAGAGGTAAATCATTTGTTTGCAGGGCAGAATCTAGGTGTCTGGAGGATTTCAGCTTTTGTCATTGAACAGCATGGCAACGTGCTGAGAATTTGGACCTGTCGGCAAGAGCATGATGGATCCCTACGAAATCACTGACCATGTACTGCCTAGCAGAGATGAGCTTTAGCTTAGGCCTACCCAGTCCCCTAGAGGATATACTCTGGCAGGAACATACTCTACCCTAGTAGTTAGGGTTACCATATTTCCTGTATAAAAAAAAAAAAAAAGGACACCTCTGAGGGGGGGGGGGGGGGGGGGGATGAG